CATCCGGGTACCTTTATAGAATGTCATCTGGGTACCTTTATTGAATGTCATTTGGGTACCTTTATAGAATGTCATCTGGATACCTTTATAGAATGTCATCCGGGTACCTTTATAGAATGTCATTTGGGTACCTTTATAGAATGTCATTTGGGTACCTTTATAGAATGTCATTTGGGTACCTTTATTGAATGTCATTTGGGTACCTTTATAGAATGTCATCTGGATACCTTTATAGAATGTCATCCGGGTACCTTTATAGAATGTCATCTGGGTACCTTTATAGAATGTCATCCCGGTACCTTTATAGAATGTCATCTGGGTACCTTCATAGAATGTCATCTGTGTACCTTTATAGAATGTCATTTGGGTGCCTTTATAGAATGTAATCTGTGTGCCTTTATAGAATGTCATCTGGATATCTTCATAGAATGTCATTTAGGTACCATTATAGAATGTGATCTGGGTACCTTCAGCAGAATGTGATCTGGGTAACTTTATAGAATGTCATTTGGGTACCTTTATAGAATGTCATTTGGGTACCTTTATAGAATGTCATCTGGGTACCTTCAGCGGAATGTCAATCAGGTACCTTCAGCAGAATGTCATTCAGGTACCTTCAGCAGAATGTCATTCAGGTACCTTCAGCAGAATGTCATTCAGGTACCGTCAGCAGAATGTCATTCAGGTACCTTCAGCAGAATGTCATTCAGATACCTTCAGCAGAATGTCATCTGGGTACCTTTATAGAATGTCATCTGGGTACCTTTATAGAATGTCATTTGGGTACCTTTATAGAATGTCATTTGGGTACCTTTATAGAATGTCATTTGGGTACCTTTATAGAATGTCATTTGGGTACCTTTATAGAATGTCATTTGGGTACCTTTATAGAATGTCATCCGGGTACCTTTATAGAATGTCATTTGGGTACCTTTATAGAATGTCATCCGGGTACCTTTATAGAATGTAATTTGGGTACCTTTATAGAATGTCATCCGGGTACCTTTATAGAATGTCATCCGGGTACCTTTATAGAATGTCATCCGGGTACCTTTATAGAATGTAATCTGTGTGCCTTTATAGAATGTCATTTGGGTACCTTTATAGAATGTCATCCGGGTACCTTTATAGAATGTCATCCGGGTACCTTTATAGAATGTCATTTGGGTACCTTTATAGAATGTCATTTGGGTACCTTTATAGAATGTCATTTGGGTACCTTTATAGAATGTCATTTGGGTACCTTTATAGAATGTCATCCGGGTACCTTTATAGAATGTCATCCGGGTACCTTTATAGAATGTCATTTGGGCACCTTTATAGAATGTCCTCCGGGCA